TTTAGTTTGAGAAATTAGTAGCAAACCCCTGCAGATCAGCCTTACAAGTACACATATTTCATAGATCGTTCTTCCAAGATGCGTAAATAAGAACGTCGAATCTCACAGACTGGGAGAAAAAAGCGGGCCCCCACCATCCCGCATCAATTCTTTCACTCAGGACTTTGACCGATACAACCAAGTCCGTTCATTCTTGGATAACAGTGTGGCAAACAAGTCACACCTGTGAGAAAATAAAGATCAAATAAAATCTACCTGCTTGAAAAATGGCAGCTTCCTCCGAGTAAGTGCAGTCTGGAGATACGTCATTCAAAGGTATTTGCAAGCCAGGAATGTTATACATATCTAACACAAATCAAACAGACAAGTCGATCCAGGCCTAATCGGCCATACAGATCTACTAAACTGGTTTGTCCAGCATGGTGGCACGGTCGACAAGAGCGTGCGTATCGCACAAGACGCCTCGCGCGGCGTGCACTTGCAAGTGAAAGCAGACTGGCCAGAAGCCATCCCGAAAGAGACCCGGGTGATCAACACTCCAATTGAGTTGTCAATGTCCTGGTACAATGCCATTGGCTACGAGTCATCACGGGGCTCATTCCCTAAGCACGGCGTTGACCTCCCGCGGACATGGATCGACCATGTCGGGCCGGAGGAGACTTTTGCCTTCTTCCTTATGGGCCAGTATCTACGGGGCGCTGATGGATTCTGGTATCCGTATCTTCGTACCCTCCCTCAGCCGGGTCAATTGACTACCCCTTTGTTCTTTGGTGAGGAGGATGTAGATTGGATCCAGGGTACTGGCATTCCCGAGGCTGCCGTTGAGAGGATTAAGATATGGGAGGAGAAGTATGATTCGGGCTATCTTCAGTTGGGGGCAATGGAATACCCGGATTGTGAGCAGTATACGTGGTGAGTATGGGATTCTGTTATTACCTGTCCCTTTCATCCAGTCCGAGGAAACATTATGCTGATTTTATGCAGGGAGCTGTATCTCTGGGCTTCGACTATCATTACCTCCCGAGCGTTTTCGGCAAAGGTTCTATCTGGGGCGGTTCAGCCTGATGATCTTCCAGAGGATGGAGTCTCCGCGCTGCTTCCACTAATTGACCTTCCAAACCATAGACCAATGGCAAAGGTTGAGTGGCGAGCGGGTGATAAGGATATTGGCCTTCTTGTGCTTGAAGATCACTCAGCAGGCCATGAAATTTCCAACAATTATGGCCCTCGTAATAATGAACAATGTACGTATCGCGTTTGCTATGGCATGATATCAAATCCTTTCAAACGTCCGAATCACCACAAAGACTGACTATAACATAGTGTTGATAAACTATGGGTTCTGTATTGCCGGTAATCCAACCGATTATCGAATTGTTCATCTGGGTGTGAAGCCCGATAGCCCGCTCGGCAAAGCCAAGGCTCGCCAGCTAGAACTGTTCCCTCAGGTTGCCAAGAATATCGAGGATCACTATTACATCTTCAATACCTTTTACCCATTACTGGCTCCCGAAACAAAGATGGAGCACTCGATCTTCTCACCGGCATTATTCAACGCATTGACCGTCATGGAATCCAACACACGCGAGCGAAAATTGCTTGAGATCTCCGAGGGCTCTATTCATATTCCACCAGGATATGGAAACAGCCATAGTATCTATGCTGCTCTCGCTCAGATTAGCTTTGAGCTCATGGCTCATGCCACAAACCTGAAAGCCAGTGCGGAGCATCTGCCTTTGCAACCAATTACCCTGAACCAGACACACTCCCAGATCTACCGCAATGGACTCATAACATTAGATCAGGCTGCGTTGGTTATCGCCACTTGGACAATTGCGCGTGGCAGGGAACACAAGCGTGGTGAAAGTTGGGAGGATACCAAAGTCCTCCTATATGAACTAATGGCACGCGTCCCGGCCGGCCTTCTCTCAGAAGATGTCATGTCTCGGATCCGAGTGCGTATCCTGGAGCGTCCATCACTCATCACCAAAAATGGTGAGCTGTTCAGATTAGGCGAGCTTTTCAGCCTTCTCCCGGCTGAAATGCAGGAGCCAGCTCAGACATGCTTCCAGCACGCCCTCGGAGTGGCGAGCCAGGCCGTCCCGAGTATATCCACCGATCCACAGACTATGTTTGCAACGGTTATTTGCTTGCTTGTTGCAACGTATAATTCGCCAGAGACACAACAAAGATTGTCATCGCGTCTCAACCGATGGTTTACTTTCCTGCTTGAGCAATACCCTCCGCCTTCTGACACTTCGAGATCTATTGAAACAGGCGTGGACGAAGCTAGCGAAACACTTCGTCAGTTCCAAGAATATACTCAGGCAGAGAAACCAAGCTCATGGGCGCCCGGTGATGGAGTTGATTGGCTTACCGAGGGTAGTGGGTGGCTGGACTCAGAGTGGCTTCAATGGGCGTGGACAGTGGCAGGCTCGGAAATGGTGATGATCCCTCTTGAGCCATTTGAGATCCTCAAGATGGAGGGCTCACTATCTATGTTGAAGCAGGCGTGTCTCTATGTACCACAAGAGTAAATAGAGAGAAAGTAGACATAGAAATGAAAGAGTTGTTTATGGACCAGCCTGCTTGTTTTGTGTCCATTACCTTAGCCCTCGTGAGTTGAAGATGAAATAACACAAGAAAAAAGAAGACAGAGAATATACCTACGAGAATTCACCTAAAAATGAAATCCGAACACATGCTAGAGAAACAGGCCACTTAAAGCGGCCATGTCTTTATGTATACCACCACGTGATATAACATACTTGAGGTCGTCATGACCCAACCAGGAAGACTTACTCAGCAACCTAATCACGTGAAGACCCAACACCCAATCATATCGAGCCCAAAGGCGGATCATTCAGCAAGCGCAGGAATTGCCGTGAGCTCCACGACTCCCTTCCCTCCTTCTCCACGACCCTTTGACCCTCACCACGCATTGTCACCCCCGCCGTCATCATGATATCCAGAGCGGCGGCTCCCTCCACCTCCTCCCTCTCCCATCTCTCGACCCGCTCCCTCCGCGCCCAGGGGGCGGCCGCCCGCTCCTTCGCATCTGTGTCGGAGGCGCCTCCCGTGAAGCACTATGGCGGACTTAAGGACCAAGATCGGATCTTCACCAACCTTTACGGACACCATGGAGCGGACTTGAAGTCATCAATGAAATATGGTGACTGGTACCGGACCAAGGATATGATTTTGAAGGGTGATGATTGGGTGGGTTGTCGCACAATTGACGGGTTGGGGAATTACCAATTGCTAATGCCATGAACAGCTCATCTCAGAGATCAAGGCATCTGGCCTCCGTGGCCGTGGTGGTGCTGGTTTCCCTTCAGGATTGAAATACGTAAGTAGCCTACACGCAATTCGGACGAACGCGAATGTTTTGGGATACCCGGGCTGACCCGCTACTCGACAGTCGTTCATGAACTTCAAGGATTGGGACAAGGACCCTCGCCCCCGTTATCTGGTTGTCAATGCCGATGAGGGTGAGCCCGGTACTTGCAAGGACCGAGAGATCATGCGCAAGGACCCCCAGAAGCTGATCGAGGGTTGCTTGGTGGTGGGCCGTGCTATGAACGCCAACGCCGCCTACATCTACATCCGTGGCGAGTTCTACCACGAAGCTACTGTTCTCCAGCGGGCTATCAACGAGGCCTACGCGGCTGGCCACATCGGCAAGAACGCCTGCGGTTCCGGATACGACTTCGACGTGTACATTCACCGAGGAATGGGCGCCTACATTTGTGGTGAGGAGACCTCGCTCATTGAGTCCATTGAGGGTAAGGCCGGCAAGCCCCGCCTTAAGCCTCCCTTCCCCGCCGCAGTCGGTCTGTTCGGTTGCCCCAGCACAGTCACCAACGTCGAGACCGTTGCTGTCACACCGACCATCATGCGCCGTGGTGCCAGCTGGTTCTCTTCCTTCGGCCGTGAGCGTAACGCCGGTACCAAGCTTTTCTGTATCTCCGGTCATGTCAACAACCCCGTCACAGTCGAGGAGGAGATGTCCATCTCGCTACGCGAGCTGATCGAGAAGCACTGTGGAGGTGTCCGCGGTGGTTGGGACAACCTGCTCGCCGTTATCCCCGGTGGCTCGTCAACCCCCGTCATCCCCAAGTCCGTTGCTGACAACCAGCTCATGGACTTTGACGCCCTCAAGGACTCCCAGACCGGTCTGGGTACAGCTGCCGTCATCGTCATGGACAAGTCCACAGATATTGTCCGCGCCATCTCCCGTCTGTCTACCTTCTACAAGCACGAGTCTTGCGGTCAGTGCACTCCCTGCCGTGAGGGCAGCAAATGGACCATGCAGATGATGCAGCGTCTCGAGACCGGAAACGCCCGCGAGCGCGAAATCGACATGCTCCAGGAGCTTACCAAGCAGGTCGAGGGTCACACTATCTGTGCTCTGGGTGAGGCCTTCGCCTGGCCTATCCAGGGTCTGATCCGCCACTTCCGTCCCGAGCTGGAGGCCCGTATCCGCCAGTACGAGAAGGAGCTTGGCGCTGCCCCCTACGCCGGTGGCTGGCACCCCGACAGCCGTGCTGAGGGCAAGCTTATCTCCCCTGGCATGTAAACGCATGTCGCAACTTTCCTTTTTCCATTTACAACCAATTTTCTCCCTTTGTTGTCCCCTCAAAAAGAAGCAGGAACAGGTCGGGGATGATTATCACATCTAGACCTCTTTTATATCCCCCTCTCCCTGGCCGGTAATGTCTTTTGTTTCTTGTTTGCCTGGTCCGGCCGGGGAGGGTGGTGTTTCTCTTTTCTTTACTCTGCTCGATCCCCTCGTGTTCCTCTATCGCGCCTAGGTTTCCCTTTATTGTACAGTCGGTAGCAAATTTGATGCATTTGATGTCTTCATTCGTGCTATGTAGCATCTTCCCCTTTCTCCTGTTCCATCAAGTTAACCCCGTACTCATAATAGATAATCGAATGCAGTAAAAACGAAGTCTGACGCCTCGGAATAGTAGGTTCATCATCTCCCGTCATTTGCTTCACTGGTTTGGGCGAGTATCAGTTCCTCCAGTGACACCAGCATCAGCAACAGCAACATTAGTATCCTTCTGTTCTCTCCCATCAGCCTTTCCCTCGACCTGAATCTCAGCGGTTCTCGCATCCTTCTCCATCTTCTTCTGTTCGATCTTAAGCAACCTCTTCTCTCTCCAGGCCATCCCATACACACTCTCAACCCAGAGCAACCCCATCCCAACAGCCATGACTAAACCCAGAAAAACAAAACACCATCCCCACCCCATACCACTCAGCATCTGGCTAATGACAGCAGCCCCAACAGCACCAAGACAGCAACGAACAAAATTGCATGCCGACGCAGCTGTGGCGGGCTTGTCTGGAAACAGGTCGACAAGAAGGGTGTTGAGGCAGTTCAGGGATGCAACGAAACAGAAGCCTATGATGAACTGCAGTACTAGCGGGGCAGCTAAGTGTACTCTTTGCTGCAGGACCCAGCCATATGGAATGAACGCCGCAACACCGATGGCCATTGCTGGGAATACCGTTTGCAGGCGAGTGCGCTCGATTGGAAAATTACGCAAGTCGTCTCCTTTCTTCCGGTCTACTGGGAATCCGAGTTTCCGGGCTGTCCGCTTGTAATTGTAGTCAATGATTTTCCCATATAGGACTGCGCCGAGGCAGGAGCTTACTCCGAGGGGCCTGGAAGTTTGTGTTAGTTTATGGATCCCTGGATGGAAATCACAAGAAGAAGAAACTGAAACTTACAAAAAACAGAGCCCAATCTGGAGTTCGTTGAATCCGTACAGGGGACCAAAGAGATTGGGAGTGCTTGTCAGCAGAGCGATATTCGAGAACATCACAACCCCGACGTACGAGATGATGATTAAAGCATCCCATTCCAGTAGAATGGCAAAGGACCTAAGAGGATTCGGGAACCTAAGTCCCTTAGTATGCGGGGACTGTTGCTGAGATCCTTCTGCGCCTATTTGCCCTTCCTCATCCGACTGTGTCTGCCTATTCGACCACCGTTGGATGACCGACCTGCGCCACCACTCATTTGGTACGGCACGGCCATTGCCAACAATCTTGCGTGCCGTTTCTGGCATAACAAGCACGTAGAACACCAAGTACCCTCCACTAACAATGACCAGGAACCAGAAGACACTGCGCCAGCCGAGAAATTTGGCCAAAAGACCACCGATAACAGGACCCAATGCAGGCGCCACCATAACACCTGCTGCCATGGGTCCAATATACTTCCCACGCTCGGCTGTTGTGGCAATATCCGCTATAACGCCATATCCAAAGGCAACTGTGCCACTGCTCCCCGCACTCTGGAGACAGCGGAGGACAAGCAACGCCGCGAAACTGTTCTGCAATGCTAACCCGATGTTGGCGGCGGTATATACTGCAAACGCAATAATATACGCTGGACGTCTGCCCCCGGTGTCGGCGAATGTGCCCATGAAACTCGGGGCCAGGCCTTGGAAGATCATATATGTTGTGACTGTGAGGTTGATCAGCTCCGGGGTGAGGTGGTAGTTCCGTACCAATGTTGGCATGACGGGGTAGTAGATTTGGCCGGAAAGAGGGGAGAAGAATGAAGCAAGAGTCACCATTACCACGATGAATAACTTTTCGTATCTGCTGAATGCTGAAAACAATAGCTGGGAATCGTCCAGTCCGGTTTGTGTGGTCTCGATGTGTGGCTCTGTAACTGTCAGGCCTGAGCCCTCAGCAGCAGCTTCGGGCTGATTATGGACGTTGTTGGCATCGCTGGGGGATGCATGTGTAGCTAAGGCTGCGGCGGGGGCTTCAGTCAAACCAGGGCCATATCCACTGTCGACTCTCCTTATGTTGTGGTCTGCCGGAGCGTGCTCGAAGGGACCAGGTACTGTCAGGGTATTTCCCTCACGGCGTCCTTCTGGGGTCTGTTGAGGCTCCATGATGAATAAGGTATAGCAAGCGGGATAAAAAAAATAAGAGAGAGAGGTGGAGAGAGAAGGAAAGAGGAAGAGGAGAAACAGAAGAGAGAAGTAGCAAAGTAGCCAAGTATAGCTCTTTCCGCATATAAGGCACTTTCCCTCTACACGACCCCGGGGACTTGAACTTGAACTTCTCACACTTCTCCTATTCACCCACATCTTTACATATATGTGCTTTTCAACCCTTTCCTGGATCAAATTAACATCACTCGAATATGTAAATTGCATTCCCAAGGTCCTGATATCAATTAATACTGACTTGAATTTTACATATCTCCAGGCCCCAAAAATCAGCACCAAAGGGGCAACAGGATCCTCTGCATTTACCTTCTATTGATATGAAAATACCACATAGCCTGAGGTCAAGGGCAAACCCTGTTAGTGGTCTGGTTTTCTACAGGACGTAGAAGCTACAACTCTGGTCCGGAAGCGACAGGCTATTGATCTTACTCAAAAACCACACGATGGAGAAAACAGTGGAAGTGGACGACAAGCATGGCGTGTAATGTCGATCTCAGCAGTCGTTTAATTTCATGGGAAAAGTCTTAAAAGGCCCGATCGATCTGTGTTTTGCGGATTTCAAATCGCACCTCCATCGACATCGAAGTTGTGGACATGAACGCGGCGTCCAAGGACGTTTCCAACATTCAGTTGGCTCGGTTCTCGGACATGTTATTAAGACCCGGCAAATTGACCATCACTTTGCAGATTTCAAATGCTTCGTCTTTGTCACAGCACGCCCGATGTTGTGAAGAATAGCAACCAAAGAGTTCAAGGTTGCCGGAGAGCTAAAAGTCCCGTGGAGTAGCGAGCACCGGATACACAATGCCTACCTGAATGAACTACAACTTGGAACTACGTTTGCTCAATAAACTATATGCAGGGTATGGATTGCACGTGTGGGGATAGGAATACATGGCCCCCCCGCTGGCTGTGCGCATCTGCACATTGAGCTACTGGACCTAATCTACTACATGAATGACTTCTGGGAACAACATATTGGTCCGCTTGACCCGCCTGAGCTCACCTGCGCTGTTGTCGAAGCTGTGAAGGCACTTCTGCAAGGTTGAAGTAATGAGCGGAGCTATAAGTGATCATAAGGGTATGGCTACGAACCATATATTCTCCATTCTGCTACAATGTTTATACCGGAGAGAAAAGGACAGAGTGAATTGGTTCAAATAGTAGTTTTTCAGCAATAGGGTAGAGTACAATACAGGTCATGGGAACCATTTGAGATCATTTGGGACAGAACACAGGGAAAAAGTGAAGAGGCAAAACAAAAGAAAAAAAGATCAGAGGTGCTTGGGCTTTGGACAGTTAGTGCCCGCTAATTCCACAATGAACATATGCAAACCGGAACATGATTCCCTCTATCTCCTCAAAAACTTAATAGCCACCCGCCATGATGACACCGTAGTACCGACGGCTCATTTCTGCGGTCTGCAACACACGAGCATCGCCTGTCAAGGGCAGGCCCAGGACAGCAGCAGATTCAACAGACTGTAGAAAGATAGAAGTCAGCAATGAACAAAAGCAATATATCAATGGAAAAGGGAGAAGGGAACTAACATGAACATCCTCGTGCGTAATCCAACCGGCGACAGCCCGGCTCATCTCCTTGAACGCAACACGTTCCTCCAGTCCTTCCAGACTAGATCCCTGGACACGATCACCCATTGCAACAAGAGCGGTGACCAAGCGGTTCAGACGAGTTGGATCACGTCGGCCGCTAGTGGAGTTGACCAACCGGAGGAAGTCTTCGTAGACACCGCCTCCAGAAGACCAGCCACGCATTTTACGCTCGGGTCCGTCGCCGAAGCCGGAGACCAGAGCCTCAAGGGTACGGTAATCGCCTTCGATGATGGTGCTTGGACCGACGATGCGACAGAATGTGGCATGGGCGTCGTTCCAGTGCTTGCCGCGAATAAGACAGTCGACCTCACGGGCGGCGTCGCCGATGTCGCGAGCATGCAGGGCCTTTGCAACCCAGATCCAGGCCTCGGGCAGCTGGAGCTCAGTGATGAGATATTGCCATGCGGGGTGGGAGGAGCCGTCGGCAGCGAAGGGCTCGGGGAGTTGAGCGGCAAACCGGGCGAGAGTCTCTTGGACGGCGCGCTTGCGGTCGTTGGCTTGGGAGAGGTGCAGGAGGACGAATAGCGCCTGATCCAGTTTTCCACCTGCGCTGAGTTCAGAAGTGAAATCCCAGACAAGTTGGTCAGTTTGGTGTTGGTCGATTTTGATGGCTTGGTTTTGTCCGACCGTCGCAGCGAGAACGTGGTGTAGCTGGAAGGAGAGTCGGTTGGAGAGACGGTCACCGGAGACGGATTCGGGAAGGAAAGATGCCGGGAATTGAATGGATTGGGTACCGCGGCCTTGAATCACTGAGAAGGCCTTGAGTAGAACCCAAAGAGGAGATTCGCGGCCAAGTGTATCAGAGCCAGGCTGCAGGACTGCATGTGTACTGGCCTGATACGACGGGTGGGGGAAGGCAGGTTCTTGTCCGGTGGCCAAGTCCTCAAGGAACTTGGAGACAGCCGCCTCAATTGGCTCATCTTCAGCAGTGCAATACCATAGACGAAGACCAAAGGCCTGGAACCAATCCAGATCGAACCGTTCGGTGAAGCTAAAGCTGGAGGCCCGGTCTTCAAGCGCACCGCCCGATCTGCCCTCGCTGCGGAGAGCATTTCCTGCGACAAGTTCATAAAGGGCTCGTGTGGGTTCAGTGATCTCTGAGAGGATATTGTTCTCACGCCATATATCGATCTGGTTCGCGATGTCGGCCTGGGAGGTAGCATCGCGGCCAATCTGTGCAACTATAGTTGCTAGATGGGGATTTTGACTCTCGATCAGTGTCTTACAGGCTTCCTCCACTCGGTGCGAACAAATCAAATGAACGGCGCGTTCCACGGGGGAGCGAATGAGATCTAGGTTTTGGGAGTGCTTTTCACGAATGATACCCTCCCAAAGACGGGTGAGTCGGTCCTTCTTAATCCGGTGTGCAAATTGTTGTCGTAGACGCGGCGGTACACCCGCTGAGATGTCGTCCTCAATATCGTCATTAAAAAGAATGTTGAGAAGCTGCCAAACCAAGCGCTCTTCCTCCGACTGGGAACGGGTAGACGGTGAAAGAGGGAACTGTGACAGGTCCACCTTAGACATACGAACGAAAGGAGTGCCGTCGACGCGCTGAATAGAGGACTGAAGTCGCTGGACATCAAGCATCTCCCTGACCTATATCATCATTAGTATCAAGTTCAAATAAACACCAACCAAGCCACCAAACATACCTCGCCGGATTGGCTGTGAGTCATCACTGCAATATCACGATCCTCGCTGAAAATGGAGAAACTTTCTTTCCAGGTTCGATTCACCCCCAAGATTGTGTCCTCCATATCGTTTTTCGCGCAGACTAGGGAGTCCATGGGACCCCAGCGAGGTTTGAAAGAGTCATGGAAAGCGGCGTCGGATTCGCTCATTTGTGTTGCATCGCCAGCAAAGGTCTTAGGTTGCTTGTTGTAGGGCCACTGGAAGGAAGAAAAAAAGTTTTAGCTCAGGTTATCGCATTTGTTAAACTATCTGACAAGTGATGTGCAATTTCATAGATACATGATGCAGTGACACAAGGGGAAAACAAAGGGAATGTAATCAGTGTGAACATAAGAAAGGAGTTCTAACCTCAAAGCCCTTTGGGGGGGCCTTAGCCGCCTTCAGCGGAGAAGGAGCAGCTTGCTTGCGCGGCTGCTGAAACAAAGAGTTCATAAGATCAATGCTATTCGAGAAACCCTTCTTCGCAGGGGCAGTTGCAGTGGCCGTGGGAGATTCATCGTTCACGAGGTTGCGGTCAAGAAAAGCGTTTGCCTGCATTTCACGCAAGGCATCACGATTCTGCTTGCGAGGGCTGATGGTGCGCTGCAGCTGCTCAGCCCAGTCACCGCTAAGATCAAGCTGAGGCTTTGCAGGGCTGCCCAAGTGTTTTGAGATAGGGTAAGTGGTATCCAGATCACCATTTGTGCTCTGGTAGTCGTCCCGCTCCACGGTGCGATGAGGAGTCGGAAAGGCACCCGCCATATCCATTTCATCTGCCTCATCTGATCCAACTACCGAATCGCCAGACTGTTGGCTCTCGGTGACGACGTCGTCGTCATTCTCAGTAGTCGAACCCGTGGAGCCTTCCTCTAAAAAAGACTCGGTTTCACCCTCAGAAAAATAATCATCCTCCACAGGCATGGCCTGGTTAGCGAAAGAGCCAGGAACAAGCTTGCGCTTCTTGAAATCAAATGTATCATCTTCAACACCAACCATAGAACCGACGAAGGATTCGTCAATGGAGAAGGTGGTGGACTGATCGAAATTCGTGGACTGATCGAAGTGAGCCCTGGGGGTAGGGTGGTCAGGGCCCTGGGCACTCATGGTACTCTGGTCAAGACTCTCACCTTCCTCTTCATCGTAGTCAAGGCCATATGTAGTGAAATGAGGCACCTTGAAAACCCAGGTTCCAGTCTCAGTCTCGTAGTTAACGAACTCAGTATCGCCAACCTTCTGCAGACGGTCAATGTGTTTGTCGAACAGAGGACCACTTGTGACAGGGGAGTTGCTCTTCTTATCTCTTCCACGGGGCCAGGAGTTCTCAATCCGGAGGGTAGATGGCACGTTAAGTCCTTTGCCTCTGGCAGGCTTGACGGATTCCTCGGGATAGACAGTAATCTTGCGAAGCCCAATATCCACAACATTGGTGAAAAGGTTGTCCAGATCAACGGTAGTCAGATCAACCGGGCCGTTGAAAGTGACAGATCCACAGTTTTGACGTCCAACGGTGAAGTCGACGACTTGTCTGAGCTGGTCGCGACTCAATCGGCTAAGCTCGGCACGAGAAGGCTGCATCCAGTACTCACCAGGCCGTGGGTCACCGCCAGGGATGAACGTAAGGCGCTTAACGGTAGCACCGTTGGTTGTTTGCGGTGCGCTTTCGGGGACAACAGCAAGCTCTCGGCGGACAGACTCCGTCTCAGGACGGTCGGAAGTGCCGGTGGCATCGAAACCGTTGAGGCTACCGCTCTTGCGCACAGAGCGAAGGAAGCCAAGCTCCTCAGCAGACGGTTCGGGGCTTTGAGCTTCAACGCGAACAAGGTCTCCCCCGTTGAGCCCGTTGGTGTTAGAGTCGAAGCTTACCTTTTTCTTCAACTTGTCGGCAGACTGAGCAGCATCTTCTCCGTTGGTGAGAAGAGGGGCCGGGGAAGCGCGAGTAGAGGTCGATAATATTTCATTTCTCAGACCCCGGTTGATAGTGAGACGCTTGAGATTGCTGCTACCACGTACGCTGCCAGCCTGCAAGGCACCGGGGGAAAGAATGCTGTCCGCCTCTGGGTCGAAAGTCTTACGAAGGTTGCTAGTGGAGTAACTTTTGCTGAAGGAACGGCCAATGCTGCCATTGACGCTACCACGGAGACTGTTACTGCCGCCACCAGCACCCAACAAGCTGCTACCAAGACCAGATGGGGTACCAGTACTGCCAGACGGCGAGCCATAGGTCGAATAGGAGAAACCGTATCCACGCTTCGGAGGGGTAATGAGGCGATTGGCAGCGTTAGGGGTAATTCTGTAGACCGGCAGCGGTGTTCGCTGCTTTTGCTTCATGCTGGAAGACAGTGGCGTGGCAAGGGGACCGGGAGCCGATCCACCAGGAGCAGGAAGACCAGAGAAAATGGACTGGCTTCCATATGGGTTTCCATCAAGGAGCGACGCTTGGAAGCTACCAGGGGCAGGCTGAGACTGTTGTCCGGGCACCGAGGCACCGAAAGGACTGACACCTAGGCCACCGGCCTGCGGTTGCTGGCTTTGACCTCCGAAGAGAGAAGAGCCGGCGCCTTGGCCTGTGGTGGTTTGACCACCGCCGAACATGCCGCCGCCGGTTCCTGTAGTCGAGGAGAAGAGACCACCGGGCTTCTGCTGCTGTTGATTCTGTGTGTTGAACAGGCTACTACCGCCAGCGGCTGGCTGGGGCTGCGAGGCACCGAAGCCAGAGAAACCACCTGTGGCGGGAGCTGGGGTAGATCCAAAGAGACCACCGGGCTTTTGCTGCTGCTGATTTTGACCACCGAAAAGTGAGCTACCTGCCTGCTGGGGTTGCTGCTGGGCTCCACCGAAGAGCGAGCCACCTGCCTGCTGAGGCTGCTGCTGGGCTCCACCGAAGAGCGAAGATCCAGCAGCAGGAGTAGTGCTAGCGGCACCGC